ATTTACAAATGAATATAATCTGTGATGTGATTGATAAAATAAATGAAAAATGATTAAAAGTAACACACATATTATATATTGATGATGTTAAATTAACTAATGAAACAAAAAAAAATGAATGGAAATAACAAAACAGAAAATAAATGATACAATTGAATCAATATTAAAATAAACATAAATAAATGTTGATTATAAAAGAAATATAAGTATCCCAGATAAAATGTACACTATACCATTAGTAGATGAAAAATATACAAATAAATATTTAATAGTTTATCAATTTACAAGAAATGATAAATTATGATGTATAAAGAAAATAATTAACAATATAAAAGAGTGATTAGAATAAATAAAAGAAATGATAATAAAAGAGTTATTAATAGAATAAATACAGAAATAATACCTAAATTCACATATAGTGATTCTGTTGTTAAATGAACAATTATGAAAATAAGTGAAATAGATAAAATGATAAGAAAATGATTAAAAGAAATATAATATAAATGTTATACTAATAGATTATATTTAAATCAAAATAATATAGGAGATTGATTAAAGACTGTAAATGATGAATATGGTATTAAAATAATAAGAGCAAATATTATTTCACAATGAAAAAAGGAGATAAAAGAGGAGATATGATAAAGTTAAATGAAAAAAGAAAGGAATAATGAATAGATTGTATAAGTCAAGTTGAAAAAGAATAAATAAAGAAGAAATTAAAAAATGAGTGAGGAAGAAGAAAAAAGAAAGATAAAAAGAAGATAATAAAAATATAAAAGATAAATTTCAAGAAGAATATATCAATAAATGGAGAAATAAGAAAATAACGAAATTTTAAAATAATTTGAAGATAAAATGACAAACTAAAAGAAAACAATTAAAATATTAAAAAGAATTAATATTAAAAGGAATGTATATATTCAAATAAAGAAAATACAATAAAGTGCAACAAATATTGGAATAATGAAAGTAATATGAACACATGAACCAAAATATGCAATGTGTAATATCTGTAATAAAATAGCAACAATAAATCATATCATTCTCATTTGTACAATCACTAAAAAATCACAGATGAGTAAACATGATAAAATGAATATATATGGATTACTTTAAAGATAAATAAGAAATATATTCAGATTAAGAAATATGAAAGAAGAAAATATAAAAAAATTAATATTAAGAAGAATTAGGAAAAATGAAAGAAGAATAGAGATAAAATATTATTGATTTTAAATCAAGAAATAATAAATAAAATGAAAATTCAATAAAAGAAATGATATTTATGTAAGATATTTAAAGAAGAAAGATGTATTAATCATATATGCAATAGTAAGAGATAAGAATATAAGTAAAACATTTACAAAAAAATAAATATAAAATTATATGAACAAATTAAAAAATAGAAAGAACAATAAGAATAATAATTATCCCAGTCGTAATAATAATATGTTAATTGATAAATAAAGAAACAGTTAATTATTAAGAAGTGAAAGAATTAAAAATGCATGTGAAATAATGTTAAAAGATAATGTAATAACAAATATGAAAGGTCTTACGATCACTGAGGTAATCATTGTGTAGAGTACAGATATATAGAAGAATCAGAAGAAGTAGACTCTGCAGGGTGAAGGATGGGAAGAAATTCTCACCTGAACAATAGGTTAAAATTAATAAGCCTTTATTTATTATATTTATTTAATATTAATTTCAACAGTTAAATGTGTAAATATATTATTAATAAATTATATAATTTGTTGCTAAAATAATTTTATTTCATTTTGATATTTTTTAAATATTTTATTTATTTTCATATTTTATTTCATTATTTTTTATATTTTCATTATTTCTTCAATTAATGTTATTTGTTTATTAAAATTATTATTTATTTCTTTTATTTTATTATGAACAGAAGTATTGTTAGTATCTTTCATTTCTTTTATTAATGTATTTTAATTTCATTTATATATTCATGAATATTCTTATTATTTGTTTTTTCTTTTATGACTTCTTTTATTTTTGTATTTTATTCAATATTTTGATTCTTTTTTATTCATTTCTCTTTATCATAATATATTTTTTCCTTTATTTCTTCAATTTCTTCTTTATCATATTTTTTTATTTCTCTATTCTATTTTCTTACATATTTTCTATCTTTCTTCATTCTTTTTGTCTTCATATTCTTTATATCTATAATTTCTTTTTATCTCTCAGTAAATATTTATTGTTTATATATATTATTAATTTCATTTTTGTATAAATTCTTTTTTTGAAATAAATGATTAAAAAAAAGAAAGAATTTATTTAATATCAATAATAAATATTAATTAATTGAAAAAGAGGAATGAAATAATTAGAATAAAAGAAGATAAAAAAGAATAAAATAAATAAAAGAATATAAAATAATTTTTATTTCTTTATTTCTATTTTTTATTTTAATTCTTTTTTATTGTTATTAGTTTTCTTCTATTTCCATAAATCCTTCTCCTAACTCAACTTCTTTTTTATTTATTTCATTGATTTTATTCATTTCATCTATCAGCATTTCAATACATTTTTCAATATCTATTTTTTCTCCTTCTTTTATACATTCTTCAATATTTCTAAACATATATTTTTTATTTGCTGTTTTTTTACTTTTTATTAATTGAAATTGATATCCTTTTTTTTCTAATATTTCTTTCATTATTTCCATTTTCCCATTTTGTATCGTTATTTCATAAAATCTTCCTTTAATTCCTTTTGTTATATACTTTTTCGCTTCTTCTTCAATATTTCTTTTTTCATATATCACTTTTTCTAAATAAACTTTTGGATATCGGTATTCCTTTTTACTTATTCTTTTGGATTTTCTTATTGAACATTTGTATCCATTCATTCTCCACAATGATACCATAAATAATATCGTTCTATTCATCCTTTCATTAGTTTCTTCTCTGTGTTGTTGATTTCTTTTTCTTTTTATTTCTTCATTCATTCTTTTATTCGCGACACTTTTTATCTTTTCTTAGTTCTTTTTTTCTTTCTTTCTTTTATTTTGCTTCATTCTTGCTTTTTCTTCTTCTTTTTCTTTCTTCTCTTCTCATTTCTTTTTATTTTTATTTCTTTTGTTATTATTCACTTTGTCAGTCATTTTTATTGGTTGTTCTCTGTTTTTTTCTTATTTCCTGCTGTTCTTGTTATTTCTTTTTAATGATGTTATTTTTCATTTATATGTTGATGGCTGTGGTATTTTAAGGATATTTCTTTGGCTGTTTTTGTTGAACTACTTTTGTGGTTTTATTTTTATGATTTATTATTGTAACTCTTTTGTTTGATTAAGTTTTTATTTACTTACCTTTGTAGGTTGTGTACCGTTTTTTTTTACGTGGGGGTATAGTTGGTATTTCATTTCATATTTAAGTAAAAATATTGTTGGGATTTTTAAAACCTATAACTATCCTTTTCAGTGTTGTTTTGTTCTTTGGGTGTAATGTATCAGTTAGCGACATTTCATTTTTATTATTTGAATACTTTTCAGGTATCCTCTGTTCTATTAATTGAAAAAAATGGTAATTATTTAAGAGAAGTATTGGGCATTATTGTCTTAGTATTGCTAATGAAGTTAATACCATTATGGAAACTCCTTATAATAAAACTTACTGTATATAAATCCTTTTTTAATATGTACAAGAATTTTCTTTTATTCATAGTTGTATTTATCAATAAACCAGAAATACATCAATGAGCATCGCCTCCATTTAAAACTTATAACCTTGTTTATAATTTTAAATGAATTAAATAATGTTATAGGTTATGCTTATACTAATAGTATTCTGTGTAGATAAAGTTTTTGTTGAGAATAGATTTTAATGTACATTAAATTAAAACAATACAGCTTGGTACTTAACTTAGGGCTGGTTGTTAGTATATTGTGGATTATATATTTTGATAGGTTATTGAGTTATATACTTACTTAAATTCTACAGAGAATTTTTGGGGGTAAGTCTATGGTCGATTAAAATTTATTTATTTTAAAAGGGGGTATTTTCTCTCATGTTTTTTCATATTTAGAACAAGTTCTTAAAATTGGGTTATTAGGTATTTGGTAAGTCAGAAGAGAAATGTGTAGTAAACTTGGTTGTGGTTTAAAAGTTTAAATCTATATTTAAAATTAATGGAAGATCATATAATTGTTTATAGAGTATTCGTCTTTATAACTTTACAAAAAAATAAATCAAATTCTTCATATATTCTATTTGTTTAGAATAGAATTTTATGTGCTCATGGTTTAATAAATTATTTAAACTATAATTTGGTATTGAATTAAGTATTTTTATAAATGTAGTTATGGCATTTGTTGAATAAACATAGTTAATATTGAATTCTTTTAGTTGGTCTACTTTTTATTGTATTAATTTTATCTAATTGTTATAATTAGTTTATTATATATTTCTTTATTATATTAACCTTTCTTCTTTGTATTTCTTTTTTTATTATTTTATGAATTTGTAATACATATATTATATGATTTATTTTCTTATTTTGTTACTATTTTATTTTATTAAATAGAATTATTATTATATCTTATTATATTATTTGATTCTTTAATCATATTCATGTCATTGTAATTATAATTTGTTTGTTATATAATAATAATTGTTGGATTGGTATAATTTCTTTATTACTATTATTATTTTATACTTGTGTTATATTGTTGGTATATTATTATAATATGAGTACTATTCTTTTGTTTTTAATTAACTCTGATAATTATATTTTATATGTTAAAATATATCAATTGAGGATTATTTATTTTCATAGTTATATAAATGTTTTTTTATATTTTTATTCTTACTCATTACCTTTATTCGTTCTATTATTTTCTTATCCGTTTAATGGATATTATTTTTATAATTCAAATATCTATTTTATTTTTCATTTTTTCATTCTTAACTCATTTTAAAATATTTAGAAAAGTGTATATAAATTTTTTATATTTATTACTGAATATACTTCATTTGATAATCATCTTACAATTGCTATCCTTTTTTTATTCAATTAAAATTTATGTGAAATGAATTTATATTAATTTTTTTCTATTAAATATACTATTTTTTCATAATTTACTTCTATTGTATTATTATTATTTTAATATCTTATTATTTCATAGATATTTATATTAATCTTCATTGTTATTATGAATATTTATTTTGTTTTGAATATAATTCTGTTTAATACTTCCTAATCTTATTTATTAACATTAATTTAATATCAATTTAAATTTATTTTATTGTTAATTTTCATGTTTATATTTCTTGATAAGATAGCTAATGGATCATCATTATAAAACATATAATTAGGCTTGATGTTATCTTGTTATTTCTGTTATTTAATTGATAAAATTTTATTATTTAATGAATCAGAAATATAACTAATGATATAATAAATAAGAATATAGATAAACAAAACTGTTATAATATTAGATTTATTATTCTATTTTTGTCTCATAACATAATCTTATGTTTGCTTCTTTTATAGAATTCATACTTAATGAAGATTTTTATAATCTTATATATTTTATAATCTTGATATAATCACATTATAAATATTTTTTGTTCTTTTAAATGTTTTGAGCTAAACTATTTTTTAAAGTTATTCTTTGAGTTATGTATAAAATTACGTTTATTTAATTGATTCTTAACTGAATATATTTATCATTGGTTATTATTGGATTTAAATGATAATATAAATATTATTAAATTGTTTTATGAATAAATTCACTCTATCATTTAATATTTTTATTGTATTTATGTTATTATTCTAATTATTTTTAATAATTTATTATAAATTTTTCAATTAAACATTATACTTTATATAACTCATTTACTTTATAACAAGAATTTTATTTAATTATTTCTATATTGTTATTACTTTTATCAAAAATATATAACCCAATTATTATTCATTTATTTTTTTAAACAATTTAATATAAGTCTCAATTATTTCCTTTTAGTTGGTCATATTTTCAAATACTTTTATTAATTTTATTGTTAAAATCAATGTTATTTTTACGTTTTATCAATTCTTATATATTTTCATTGAATCCATATTTCTACATCTGTATGATCAATGATTCTTGTGGCAACGAAAAAAGCAAATAAGAGAAAAAGGAAGAGAAAGAATGATATAAAAGAAAAAAGTGAAATTATGAAGTAGAAGAAGATGAAAAGAATAAAAGTAGAATGTTGAGAATATAAAATGAAAAAAGATAAAAAGAATAATTCAAAAAGAGATAATAAATGATGAAAATAATGATGAAATAATGGATGCATTTTTTATTATAGAAATTAGAAATATCCAATAAAAAAAGTATTTAATTTATTGATGCAAATTATTTATCATTATTTTATTTATGCAAATTATTTTATTCTTTTTTATTTTTATAATTTTTATTTATATATATTATTTTTTCTCTTTTTTTCTTTTTAATATATTGATTATTTTAATTTATTATTTATTATTCTTTTATTTATTTTTCTCTATTCTTTTATTTGTTCTTTCTTATTATATTTATGAAATATTTCATTATTATAAAATAATTTATTGTTTAATTATTTAAATGATTTATATTAAAATGAATTTATTTTATATTTCATTGTTTTCTTTTATCTTTATTTTATATTTTAATAATTTCTTTAATATCATCATTTTATATTATTATTATTATTATATTTATTCTTTCATATTTTTATTATTTATCATTATTATTGTATTTTCATTTCTTATTTTATTTTAATTTATTATTATTATTTATATTTCTTTTCTTTCTTATTATTCTTCTTTATTCTTATTATTTCTTTATTTCTTATTTTTCTATTTTATTTATTTTCATTTGATTCTTATTTTCATTTCTTGTTTTCTTGTTTTGATTATTTTGATTTGATTTAATTTT